GCCGCGTAAGCTAGATCGGGACGACAAGTGACAGCGGCGAAGAGTAGACAGCCTAACTGCTGTTGATAGATCTGTAAACCATTTGAATTTAACAGTGCAGTGTTCGGTTTGTGGCCAGTCAGTAGTGAGCGGTACGGTGTAGAGACTGCAGTAGGAGTGAGGTTGAAGCGGGCAGCGAGCGTTGCTGCGTACTTCGAAGCGGTGAGATGAATAGACGTCGGTGAACAGGTAATGTTTAGACCAAGAAACTGTGAGACTGTTTCGGAGACGATAAGCTGTAGAGTTTTCTGTAGTTTCAGTATGAAGATATCGGCAAGAGAATCGGTAGTACTGACTTAGAGGATATCGTCGACGTAGGCGACGAGTAAACTATGGTTGCTGCCGTCAGTCACAAGATACATTCCCTGGTCATGCGATAGCTGACGAAATCCGGTAGTGATCAGCTGTGAGTGGAGGTACTGCTGCCAAAGCCGTGGTGCTTGTTTAATGCCGTAGAGCGATTTTCGGAGATGGCATACACTCGGTGGGTTAGTAGCATAGGAATGCGGGTACTCTACCAGGATGAGTGCGTTGACGGGCGCGTAGAGAAACGCATTTAACACGTCGATTTGTCGAAGTCGGAGATTACGGCAGGCAGCGACACAAAGTGAAATCCGAAAGCTTGTATGTCGACCGACAGGAGCAAAAGTTAGTTCGTAGTCGATGCCGTAAGTTTGCTCGAATCCGCGGACGACCCATCGCGCTTTGAATTTCTCAAATGACCCATCTGCATTAGTCTTGACGCGGAACACCCATTTTCCGGTGAGTACCTTCTTCCCTTTTACTTCTGATGTCGGTATTAAATCCCATGTGCCACGATTCTTAAGAGCTGCTAGCTCCTTGTCCATGGCTTCGCGCCATTTTTCTCGGTGAGTACTCGTAAGAGCTTGACGAACCGTTTTCGGTTCAGGTATCTTACTGTCGTTGTACTGTACTGCTACTGCAAATCCAAGTATATGTAAGCCGGTTTCTGTAAAACGCGGACGTTCCTCGTTTGCACCTGCGAAAATTTCTTCTGGTCCTTCTTCCCCCCCAATTTTGTCAGGTGTAACACGAACTGCTTCGTTGGAGACGGCGGGCATCGGCTGCTGTTGGCGATCGCGTTCATAACTGAGGTGAACTTCGCTAACATCATCCTGGTCAGTATCTACAAGAGGAATACATTCAGGTATGCCGGTCGAGGTGACAGGTTCGGGAATGTCTGTTGCCGCAGCTTCAGAAGCTTCAGAAACGTCCTGGTCCTGTACATCAGCTTCGGCTTCGTCAGTTGCAAATGCACGCGAGCCTTCGAACAGCCTGGCGGGGTTGGCAGCTGCTGCCTGGTGGGCACGAAAATCGGGCAAGGTGAGTCTTTCATAGAAGAGACAATCACGTGATGGGACGACTTGGTTGGAGCGAAGATCCAAAATCTTCCATGTGTGATATTGTTTTTCGATGCCGAGGTGTACCCCCCATTTTGCTCGTTCGGAAAATTTGCCGAGTGCTGCAGTTGGAGGACGAAACTGCACAACACACCCGAAAACTCGTAAAAGTTTGGTACTTCCTGCTGTGCGTGTCCACTGCAGGTGTGGAGAAGAGAACTCGGGCACGGATGTTGAAGAAAGAAGGTTGTGTAACAGCTTGGCGTGGTCCATCGCATACGGCCAAAAACGAGGAAGAGCTGCCTGCGTCAGCAGAGCATGCATCTTCTCTTGCAGAGTTCGGTTCATCCTCTCTGCTACCCCCATCTGTTGGTGTGCATGCGGCAGTGACTGCTTCCGTTTGATGCCGAGAGTCTGAAGGTATTATGTGAAAGTGTTGCTGGTGTATTCCCCTGCACCATCACTCTGGAATTCTTGCAGTTTCACGCCGGACTCTCTTTCAGCGACGGCGAGCCATGCGACGAAGACGGAATGGGCGAGATACCAAGCGGGAAGGTTTGTTGTCCAAACGTAGCGTGTAGATGCTTCGATGAATGTGATCACGTACTGTTCGTCTTTAGGTCCTGCTTCAGGTAAGTTTAGTATGTCGCTGTAGACTTTCTGCATCAGTTTATAAAGCGTTGAGCCAGGAAAATGACTTGGAAACGGATCGAGCGTAAGGTTGCCAACCGGACACGTGGTGAAAACCGTGGGACGGGACTGCGGCTTCATCTCCGTGCCGTCAGGTAAAAGAAGACTGCTTTTATCCAGAACTGCTGTTCGTTGAATGATTAAGAATCCCCTGCGATGGATGTCCTAACCGCTGATGCCAGATATCTTCTGTGGCTTTGTGTCCTGATGATCGCAGGTAGAAATCGGCGTTAGTATAGAAAGAAGAAATGATAAAAGGAGAAAGCGTTGGTGACCTGTCAACTTCTCCTTCAACGAAACGTGTAAGTGGTAACGGAACATTTGAAGGTGCTGCTGCAATTGCGATTGCAACTTCTGATGCTGCTTTTGTTGATGTTGTGGCAGGTGTTTCGGCGACAGCTACTATTGAACACGGGTGCTCGGCGACTTCTTCCTTTTCGGCTTCTTCAACGACGTCAGGTTCATCAGCTGCAAGTCCACTAATTTCTCCCCAAAGTGGAGCTAGAGTCCCTTGAAGAGCCTCACAAGTAGTGTAAAATGTTCGCCAAGCATTGGCGCTGGCATCGGCGGTACTAAACTCCCAGGTATCCAATGCGGTAAGTACGGCGGCTGCAGTTCGAGAAGCCGTTGGTACAGTAGTTGCTCGAAAGTCAATATCCACGTGCTGATAATCTGTTTCTTCTGGGTGATCCCAGGGACCAAGTGCAAGGACGCGTTCAGAATCTCCAGAAGTTCCCTGTGCCGCGAACTGAAGAGCGGATACGTCATGTTGAGTGGCGGCTCGACCAAGGTACGTTTTTTATGAACTGTGCCATAACTCCCGATCCATTGTATCACAGTTGCCTTGAGTTCGTATTTTGTGTGCCAGGAGCTGAGCCATGGAGAGAAGATTGAAGCCAAGCCCAGCGATGATAAGAACATTGGTAACGTGTAGTGAATATCCCGTGTCGATTGATTCGAGCATGACACTCCCAACAGATTGTGCCATTATAGTTTGTCCGTTTGCGACTGTGATAGGTATCGGACGACGAAATGGACGCTGGTTGGTGATGAAGCTTGTTTCAGCGGAACACATGTGCCAACCGCAGCAGCTGTCGAGGTACCAAGTATTCGGACCTGAAATTATTCGAGCAAGGTTAGCGTAAACTTGAGGTAAGGGAATGCCTTCAGCACTTGTGTTTTCTTCAAGTCGTGTCTCGAAATCTGTTTCGGAAACATCAACTGTGGTAACACATCCAAAGACCCCTTTCCCTGATGTTCCAGATGCAAAGACCAGAGGACGATGCTGTGACGGAGACGGATTCTGCGGCGTCTGCTGCGTTTCGGTCGTCGACTGCTGCGCGGGCTGATGTGGCTTCGGTAACGGCTGCGAGCGATGATAAGGCTGTGAAGTGCTTCGTCGGTTTTGATGTCGACTGCGACAATTCTGGTAAGTGTGTCCTGGTTTCTTACAGAAATGGCAGAAGGGATATTTCGGGGGATAACGATGGTGCGATTCTGGATTTGAGTAAAAACTCATGTGTAGCCCCTTTTTCTGATTGCGTTGTGACTGCAGGTCGAGACCTTGCTGTTCTGCTTGAAGATACGACGAAATTTCAGCTTCGGAGAGGTTCGGGTTCATGCGCAGAAAGGCGCGCGTCTATCGCCATTCGGGTCCAAGGCCAGCAAGAAGGACCGTGAGATACATCTCACGAGGAAAGTATCCCCCACTTTTCTCCAGTTGATCACGTAGTGTGCGAACGCGGTTGACATGGTCCATGACGTTTTCGTTTGTCATCATCTGCACACTTATCAGCTGCGAGAGAATCTTACTCACTGTTATTGTATCTTTTGCCATGTGTACCCCCTTCAAGTGGTTCCATGCAGTTTCAGCTGGTGTAAAGCTTGAATGAAACGATCGGACACCAAGTTGCTCCTTCGGCGACAGGTTCCGTACAAGAACAGTATATGCCCCGAGAGAGGCGTGCAAGAAACTCTGCTGCTCCAGTTGTGTTCCCGTAACAGGATACGTAAGCTCGCCAGTGAAGAAAGGCCATAGCCCAGCGGACTGCGCAAGAAGCTCAAATTCGAAACTCCATGAGTAAAAATCCACTCCGTTAAAAGGTATGGTTGTCTTGATCTGTGTACTGTTAAGCAAATTTGGTGGTTGAAAAATAATACCCGGTTGTTGAGGCTGTTGCTGTTGCTGCTGTTGCTGTTGCTGTTGGTGCTGTTGTTGCTGCTGAAATTGCTGTGGCTGTTTATGCTGTTCTTGTTGTTGCTGAGCAGGGGATCGCCAGAAGATGTAAAAGGGATGCTGCTGCTACTGTGACTGCGGCTGTTGCGCAAAAGGTGAGGAAGCAAACGAACCAGTACTTGGAGCTGTGGCTCCACGCATATAAATCGAGCCGTCAAGGCTCATTCCACTGAACGCTGAAGATATAGACTGAGCTGAAAACGGTGGTTGTGCTGATGCCTGTGTTTGTTGATGTTGTGCTGCAGGGGCAGTTGATGACATCCCTGGAGTACTGACAAAAGACGGATTCTGCTGCTGCTGCTGCTGCTGCATACCGATATGTGCATAAGCCGGTGGAAACGGTCCAGAGGCTGAGAGACCAGTGGCGGTCGTGGAGACATGTACTCGAGTAGTTCCGGAAGTTGATCCGGCAGACGGTGCTGGTGATGAACCAGTCATTGTTGACAGTAGTCTTAATTCCAGATAGCTCTCATACCATGTAATAATTTGACAGGTGTTGCAGAAGACTCGGTATAAAATCTGCAAACACGAACACTTGGAAAACCTCAAGTGTTAGCCTAGGATCTTTACTGGAACGGTAGACTAGTTAGACAGCAGAAGTATTGTAAGAGTGAACCTGAGTATATGTTTCTGCAGAAGTGAAGTCTCAAAAGTTCTCAAAGTTGAAATCTCAAGGTTAATAATAAAAAGGACACAACAAAGGTTTATAGCTCTAGGAAAGTACCTATTCGCTAATGTACCTGTTCGTCACTATCGCGCTATGCGCCCTAGATGACAATGAAGAGGTGCGACTATTCGCGTGACTGAAACGACTGTCCTATGACGAGCGCTATTTGCTGACGTCATCCTATGGACTTATCTTCTACAGTAGGATTCGACACTATCTATCGATAAACGACTTACAGAAATGCTAAGTATGAAATATACCACAACATAGGGGAACTCCGGCATGTCGCTTGACACGAACTCTTCTTCTTTTCGGTCGATACCTTGTGCCAAACTGGGCGGAATAAGATGCCAGTCAAGCTTTTCCACATGCAGCTCAATAGAGCAGCCATACAATAAGATACACCAGTCTTTGAACACGAGCTGAGGACACAACAGCAGCTCTACTTCATGGTCGATACTTTCTGCCACGCTGGACGGGATGAGATGCGCTCCCACCACTTGTTCACATTGGGCCGTGATGTGACTAGCTCGGAATCACCGGAGACCCAGAGCATGGCAGTGTAGGGCAGGTGGACCAGGTCTGCTAGGGAGAAGAAGGAACCAGCCAGGTAGTCGTTCAAGGCCAGGCGTGCTTCGTACACATCCAGGACCTGGGAGAGCTGTAAGACGTGAGGGATACCAGAGAACGGCCATGATGTGGTACATGGCACATAGGCGGGTGCACGGAAAAGAAGGCACAATGCAGGTTAGGAACTTAGTTGCTACAAACGCTCTGGGAGACAAGCGTTTGGCGTTCAAACGCTAGCGTTTGAACGCAAACGCCAAACGCACCCAAAAACGCAAACGCTCTCTGGGATTTTTTTCGGGCTGCCCCCCCAAAAAAAACACGAGATTGTCGTTGGAGAATAGCCTTAAGGATAGGTGATTTACATGACATATGAGGATGCTGGCTTAAATGTTAAGCACGGTTCTTTTTTATGAGACAAAATGCTTGCTGGTAGAACCCCCATGTTTCCCCCCTCCCCCAAAGGAATCTTGAACCCCTGCCCGGGTAAAAATTTTACCCCTGCCCGGGCAAGCGTTTGCCTAGCGTTCACATACATGCTGCCGAGCGTTTAGCGTTCAAACGCTAGCGTTTAAACGCTAGCGTTCAAACGCCAAACGCGTTTGTAGCAACTAAGGTTAGGAATAGGCTTTTGTAAAGAAAAGGGAGGCTTTTGTAAAGAAAAGGGAGGCTTGGGAGAAAGGCAGCAAGAACCGCTTTTCTAGCACTAGAACTCCTAGTATGCTTACCTTGGCCTTGCATTCTGCTGCCTTGGCCTCGTCTGTGGTCAGTCCCTTCCTCAGCTTGAAGACCTTCTCAGCAATGAGCCCAGAGATCGGGGGGTTGTAGTTCTGAGACTCCACTTCCAGCCACAGATTCACCAGAGCACGCTCCTGGTGTATGCATCCAAATTTATGGTAATGTCAGAAAACACTCAGGGAATACCGGGAGTGTGTCAGAAGAGAGCGAGTGACACCTGCAGTGGGACAGAAGATGGGATAGTACTTGGCGTGAAAATCGTCAAATCCGGTCTTGCCTTGAGAGTGGAGCCGAGGAGGTTTGTGCCTTGGTCAGCGTATCTGTCGGCAACATATCTCGCGATAGCTCTGGACTCTGCAGCGGCAAAAAACGTAAGCATCAGATTCACGAAATCCAAGCTATTGTTGAGCATGCGAGCAGCATCGACGAAGTTGGATGGTACATTTGATATGCAAGAACGCCAGTGCACTCTTCGCATGTCTCGCGTGTCAATAGGTGTTGGAAGGAGATCCTCGTTCAAATAGCACTCACCAAAGAGCTCGACTTCGTCATCCTCCAACACAGGAATAACGCCGAACGGCTGCAAGTGGAACGACGAAAGTTTATAAGTAAGAAAAACGCGTTAAATTGCTGAAGGGATTTTACCTAAATTATGTCATACGTGCCACGTTGGCAGGCTCCACCGACCTGTTTTTTCTTGAATTCGGCCGATTTCTGCTCGCCCTTGGACAAATCCACTGTCACGACTTCATAATCCTGCGATACAGTCAAAATCGCCAACCGCTATCAGCCATCCACGAGGAACAGAAAAAGGACGGAATTCGTATCGCGCAGTGGGGATATCCGAGTCGACAATAATACCTTAAGACTAGTAATATCTAACTATTTGATATCGTACCGTGAAATTCTTCTCTTCTAGAGCAGTGAGGACTCTCTTCGTGCAGGTCGAGAGCTTCAGACCGTAGATCTTGGTGGTGTTGGCCGCAGCCATGGCGTACAACCGACAGGAGCCACGGGCTGAACTACCGAAGGAGAGCGGAGAAACAGCGATGGCACACGAGAACGAGAGGACCCTGGTGGCAGCCATTGAAATGTGCAAGACGCGCTTAGTACACCCATTTTGTACGCCATGCCGTGCAGCGCATCGCCCTCGTTGGCAGTCCTGGTTGCCTACGCTATCTGTGCAACTCTGCAACCAAAGCTGGTGCTTACGTCAGAGGCCTCCTGGACCACCACACCAGCGCCAAGACGTTTCGGCGAATGCTAGGCGAACCTGGTTCAGCAGCTGGAACAATCCAGTACACTGAAACTCGATTCACGACGGCTAAAAACAAGAATGGGTGAATTTCACCTACCATATCCATATTCGTTTAAAATACAGCATTACGTGGCCACGTATTTTTTTGCGTTCCCGACAATGAAGTGAACTATAACTCAGATTATAGCGCAGAATACTATAGAGGAGCGTGACTACAGAATGTGTTGAATGAATCTAACAATAAAAAGTCTAGGGCTTATATAATGCTACTTGACCAGGTTGAACCTCGACCAGGTTGGACCACTCAAGGGCTTGGTAGTCAGGAGGGCAACGGGGTCAAATTGGGCTCGGGGCACCTCGGTAACACGTTCGGGGCCGAATAGGTCGGCGGGGGTGGTTTGACGCGAGGTTTGAGTCTTAACGTAGGATTCAATATCGAGAGAAAAACGTACAAAGGTATAAGCAAGTGTTATACCCTCAAAGATACGAACCTATACAGTCTATACAAACATTACCTATATATGTATGTTTGACACACCCCCTAGACTGCATAGGTGCAGTTCCTGATGAGAGAAATGGCAACTCAAGGCGGCACTACTAGTCCAACCTCTGTCAAGTGTACTACGCGAACCTGGCGACGCTGCTGCAGCTCGCGCAGGAGGAAGTACCGCAGCTGGATGTGCTTTGCTCTGCCCTCAAGTCGAGTCTCCTGACACTGGAGGATCATGGCCCTGTTGTCAGCGTACAGGACTGGCGCAGAGCTAGGCCGCTCACCTAAGTGAGCAGGAAGGTCAGCCAGCGGAGCTCCTGTGCCACCATGGCACCGGCGTAGATCTCGGCCTCACAGCTGGACTGGGCAACAGACGAGGAGCGAGTAGCTCTCCACGAGATAGCACCTGAACCAAGGCTAAAACAGTAGCCCTGCAAGGACCTAAGGGTCTCTACGTCGTCTGCCCAAGAAGCGTCTGTGTGCCCAGTAAGGACCACCGGCCTGCGTCCTCCCAGCACTAACCCCATGCCTGATGTACTCGCGAGATAACGCAAAACCCTCTTAGCTGCAGACCAGTGCTGAGGTCTGTGTCTGCCTGTGGCCACAAAGCGAGCCAGGATGCTGAGAGGGTATGCGAGATCTGGACAAGTGCAAGTCATCAAGTACGTGAGACAACCTACCAGCTCTGCGTAAGGACCACTGGGCTCTGTTGACTCCTCAGGAACTGGAGCAGACAGCCTGTGATCTACTAGAAGAGGTCTGGGCTGTGCGGAGGAGAACTAAAGACCGAACCTCTGAAGGACCTGGCGCACCAAGTGAGACTGGGTGAGAGTAATGGTGCGCGCTGCTCTGTCTCTGGAGATCTGCAGGCCCAGGTAGTGCCGCAATTCTCCTAGGTCAATGTAGGTGTGTCTCCTCAGCAGCTCAGCCTTTACAAAGGCCAGCGCGGTGGTGTCTGCAATGGCAAAGACCAGATTGTCTACGTAAACAAGGATATAGAACAGAGTCTGGCCAGAACGAACAAAGAGCGAGGGGTCTGCGGAAGACGGAAAGAACTGCAGGTATGCAAGAGTAGCATGCAGCAAGTCGTGCCACTCGAGGGGAGCCTGACGCAAGCCAAAGACTGGGCACCGCAGAAGCCACTGGGTCCCAGGAGGGAAGGTACCAGTGAAACCCTGAGGGCGGCGCAGGTAGACCTGCTCGTGTAGACTGCCCTGAAGAAACGCAGTGGAGAAGTTGAGGGAGTGTAACTCGTAGTCACGCTGTGCTGCTACGTGTAGCAGTACCCGAATAGTAGTCATCTTTGGTGTAGGGGTGAAAGTCTCAAAGAAGTCCACCCTCTCACGCTGACTAAAGCCTCTAGCCACGTAGCGTGCCTTGAACACAGGCGGCTCTCCAGGAGGGCGCTTCACCTTGAAGAGCCACCGGCCATCGACTACGTTCACCCCATGTGGAGGAACTGCATCGACGTAGGTGCCGGTGGATCTCCAAGATGCCATCTCCTGCTCCATGGCAGCTATCCACTGAGAGGCCCAGGGTCCCAAGACCGCCTCAGCGTAAGTGCGAGGGGTCGGGATGTCGAAAGCGTCGGGGTCACCCTCAGGGACAAGAAGCATAGAGCAGAGATGGGGAGTAGCCTCGGACAGGAAAGCAAGCTCGTACTGGCGGTCCTCCAGGACGTCACTGCCGAGGGAAGGAGCACCCCCGACAGACGGAGGACGGGCAGGGTCAGAGACCAGAGCGGTGGCATAGTCAAGGCGGCAGGTAGAGGCGAAGTCAGCGACCGCAGCGACAAGAGCGTCGAGACACGAGACCGGAACAGATGGGTCGGTAACGAGGGAGGCAAGGACCCGAGGAACAAGGGGACGAGCAGCGCGAAGGTAGTCAGAAAGCGGGGGAGGCGCAACAATAAGTGAGGACGGAGGCGGCGACGGTAGGAGGGTAGGACGAGACGTGTGGGAACGAAGCAACATAGGGTGAGAGCGCGGGACAGGGGAGACGGGGCGAGCATGGGAGGGACGGGGAGACCAGACGTCAGATGGAGGCGTCGGGTCAGGAGAGAGAGGAGGAAGACGAGACGGGGACGAGTCCGGGGGAGGGAACACAGGGCCGTAGACAGGAAAGGGAGGAGACGGTAGGGGAGGCACAGACACGTGGTCAGGGGACGGGAGGCCGAGCAGGCGAAGGGCTGGCACCGGCGGTGACTGCTGCTGCGGCGGCACAACACTGACACCGGGACGGCAAGCTGCTCCACGGCTACCTCCGGAACACTCCACTCCAGCACCCTCAGAAGGAACACCCCAAGTGCCCGAAACCCCGCGAACACCCGTACCACCCCCAGGCTCGCCGGGACAAGCCACGACAGGAACCCCAGGACTAGTACCCACCCGAGCGCCAGCACTCCCAGAGTCAACGAACTGCTGCTGCATCGGCTGCGGCGACGGCTGCGGCGACAGCGGCGGCGGGGACGGCGGCTGCGACAGCGACGGCGACGGCGACTGCGAAGGCGGCGGAGGAGGCGACGCCTGGGAAGGGGCAGGTGACAAGGACTGCGCTGCAGGGCCACCAGCGTCAGCAGACTCCTCGACCGGGACAACCGACGGGAGGGGAGTGACGTGAGACACACCAGTTGGTGCAGGACGCGGAGGGGGAGGGGGGGGACAGGGGCGACCGGGGAAGGGGTGACCAGGAACAGGGGGGGAGTAACTGGGGGACCTCTGTGGGGGAAGCGGTCGTAGAAGGAGACGGACTCGTCAAAGGTGACGTCACGGGAGTGAAAGAACAATTGAGACGGCGGGTGGTAGAAGTGCCAGTCGGGCGCGTCAAGGAGGAAACCGAAGAAGGCACAAGGGAGGGTGGGGGCAGTGAGCTTGTCCGTGCCAGAGGCACGAACGTGAGCAAGGCAGCCCCAGACGTGGAACGCAGACGCGTCACCAGGAGACCTGGTCCAGAGGAGGGTCGGCGAAACCTGCGGCTGCTAGGGGTGCGGCCACAGGTTAAGCTGGTGAGCGGCGTAGCGAACGGCGAACGGCCACGGAAAATGGGGTGCACTGGCATGGATCATGGAGGTACAAGCCACCTCAATGACCAAAGCGATGCGTCGCTCAGCGACCCCATTCTGTTGCGGGGAGTCCGGCAAGGTGAACGACTGGGTGATGCCCTCCGCACGACAGAAATGACCAAGGATGCCGGAGGCAAACTCGCCGCCACGGTCAGAGTGGAGACGCAAGACAGAGAGACCATGGTGGACACGCGTAGAGACAAGCCACGGGATGAGAACGTCAGGCACGTCGGCCTTCCGCTCCAGGGGGAACACAATGGTGTAGCGCGTGTAGTCATCGACAAGCACTAGGAAGTAGCGCTCTCAACGCGGCCCATGGACGGGGGCGGGGCCCCAGACATCCATGTGCAAGGTCTGTAGCGGTGTGGCGGTAGGGGGGAAAGAGGAGGAGTGAGGGGCACGGCGGAGCCGGCCCTCGACACAGGGCGTGCACGGTGGTGCTGGGGAGGAGGGCAACTCGGGGAACGACCCTGGGAGACCTAGGACAAGACCGTGCTGTGACATGTGACGCAGGCGCTGGAGGGCGGGGTGACCTAGACGGTGGTGCCACAGGAGTGTCGGGTGAGTGAGCGACCGACAGGAGCAGGCCGCAGCAACCTGGGTAGACGCGACCACTTGAGAAGACGTCCCTACCAGGGGGGTCGCAGTGTCCAGTGTGAACAGGCTAAACACCGGGTCCCTGGGGAACGTGGTGAGGGGGGCACCAGTGGCGGCCTCGGTACAGACAGCGTACCGCTCGTGACCAGGGAACGTAGAGGTGACGCCAAGGTCCTGGAGGCAGCCGCCACCAACTCGGTTCCTGGAGAACGAGGGGATGTGCAGGCCTATAAGAGAGCCCGAAGGAACCGCCGGACAGGGAAGGGTGGTGGAAATGCGAGCGACTACCGGGCCAGAGGAGGGGTCAGCAAGGGAAACTGCAGCAGGAGTAGCAAGCGGCGTCAGTGTAGTGGAGTCACGGAAGAAACACCGAGAAGCGCCAGAGTAGAGGGTGAAGGAGAGCACAGCGGTGGCGTCTGAAGACAGAGCAGTGACAATAGAACCTAGGCTAAACAAAGCAGAGGATCCTACGCCTGACGCAGCAGGGGAGGCAAGACTAGACATGCCTACACTAGGCAACAAGGGGTAGTAAGAACCAGTCAAACTAGAGTCATCAGCATACATCACATGAAGGGAAGCAACAATCTCATCCATGTCCATATCAAAGATCTGAACGCTACGGCGAAACAAGCTAGGCCAGTCGGGGAGGTCGTGCGACGGGCCAAAGCACTGACGAAACAGGTCGTCCAGGCGACGGAAACAGCGGACGGAGGTGTGACCGGTCTTACCGCAAACAGAACCACGGCGAGGACCGGTTTGGA